GAATATTTGTGCTGCTGAGAGAAACACTGCTTGTTTCCACCTGAGAAATGTATCGGAGGACAAAAAGAGGGGGGAGAAGGAGGGAGAAAAAAGATCTGAGCCAATAGAAAATGAGACGACCTTTATAAGGAGAGGGAACACGTGATAGACCTGAATGCTGTGAGGTGGTCGGTTCAGCTTCCGTCATAAACTCCCATTAACACTTCAGTTTGGACACATCTGAGCGGAAACACACATGACCAGCTGATGGTTTCCATTGGCTTCCTGTTTCTCTCCTTCCTCCCCCTCTCACTTCACCTTCAGATGTGAGGGCGCTGGCTTTCTTCCACAGACTCTAAATACCCCCTCTATTAAAATGAAGCCTTGTTGGAGGACATACTGTATCCGTATGTGATTTAAAACCGCAACTAAAAGACTTCAAGAGAATTATTTCCTGTTGTTTCTTTTCTTTTGTTGTCTCTCTCGTTTTGTTACCATTGTTCTAAGTGGGAATTACAGAGTTAAGTACAGACTACATGTGACAATACGGTGGATTATGACAAAGTAAGGAACTCGACTGCGGCTTATTGTGTTGGAGAGTTTTGTGTCCCTCCCTGTGACCCGTAGCTGGAAGCTGGATTGAAAAGACAAAATGCAAACAGTAGCAGAGGAAACTGTCTGCCTTTCTTTACACTGTGTGTGTGTTTGTAAAAAAATGTGTCTTTAAATGTGTCTTTAAATACTTTAAAGTGAGGAGAACCATGTTCCCTGCAACAGCGCCCTTCTACAAATGTTAGATAATCAGACGCAAGAGGTTTTGAAATGTGAAATGAATGTCCCTCGTTATCCCGGGTAACACTTGCCAAGCCTTGACTCCTTTTTCACCTCTGCTCACACGGCGTAGAGGAGATAGAGAGGCAGAGCCCGGCAGGAGCGATAGGGGACCAGAGAGGGATGAGACAGAAAACAGGCAGCGAGGGAAAAGGACACCACTGAATTTGAATGAGAAATCCTTCGCTGAACTACTTCCATTATTAGATCTGTCCTGATCTGTTAATTCTGGGCATCTTTTAAGGCGCTTGTTAACGCGCCAGCGGGCTCCAGCTCCTTCTCCTCTCGGTTTAGCAACTTGGCTCCTGCCAGGCTGATAGACTCAACACAGCCTCGTCAATACTGTTTCAAGCTTTTGATCGCCTAATTACTCCCCTCTATGGCTGGGGACTCGTTCGGGAGGGGGGGTTGAACACAGAGAAACATGCTGATAAATAGATTTAGAATAAATACATGTTTTTTGTAGCACTGCGCCTGGGAAGAGAAGCTAGTCTAATGATGCTGTTAATGTTACAGCCCTACTGCTCAGCTAGATCCAAACACTACACTTTATTAGCCACGGGGCTTAAAGGGAATTCACTGGTGGATTTGCAGATTTCTAGGCCTTTCATTTCCACTTCTGCACACTTTTGATTACCGGTGATCATTAAGAGCATACTTTACATGGTTGCCAGATTCTCAATCCCCGAAGTTGCCACTGTGTTCCCAGCATGTGGTATAATTACATAGAGCATTCAAGAAAAAGGCTGGTTTGAATCTATAATTCTCCTATTGTCCACACATCCAGCACGAAGACCAAAACCAGCAATGAATTGATAAAATGATCAGACTTATAATTATCATTAGCATGTAACATTTTATAACTCCATGTAATGGATTTCTATTGAATACAACAATAAAAACCATTAAAATACACACAAAGAAGTCACACCGTTGCTTTGAGCCACGTTTTCTCATGACTGTTTCTCTTTTCTGAGGAAACTACGTAATGGTACCCATTTTAAGAGAAGTTAGAAAGTAAAGTTTTTTTGTAAACACTGAAAGTGATAAAACCACCAGGGCCATCACCCGATATTAATCAGAACGGAATAAAATGAATGCTTACATCAAAAGTAGTATCCTTGAGGTCTAAACTGTACTAATGAGTTGTGTTTTCTGCAGTGTGTGTTCTCTGTGCTTCAACCCCTCTGTGTGAGTGTCCCTTCAGAAGTAAATGTCCTGATTTATTTTGCACAATAGTCCATTATCCCATAGTATATATATATATATTTTTGATATGACATATCAAGTGCTGTATTAGCATTTTCTGCACCGCAGGTCATTGACTCATCAGTGTCTGAGGGTTTATTGAATCAGTTATCTAATCAGCTCCCAACATACTCGCTGTAGAGTGATTCACTAAACTAAGAGGCGTTTTGACACTCTTTTAGATATAGTAAGCAACTATTGCTCCAAAAAAGAAACATGAGGGTAATCTGATGAAACGTATCCCCGTCATCCTGGCTGTGTTTTCTTAGTGTTTGTCTTTTATGGTTTGATTTCCTGACAGCAGATTGTATGAATGTAATGCTTTTCAACAGCTGATTCTCAATTGAACTTCATGAACTTGTTTTTATTTCTTTAATATGTTTTCTGGCCCCGTGTTTCCCCCACTTGAAAGACCTCTTGACACCCATGAGTTTCCTCTAAAACACATGCATTTACAAACTGCTTCACATTTAACCGAGGGGTGACATGCTTTCAATTCAGATCCGACCAAAAAGCAGGACTACGATCCCTCACTTCCCACCCATCCATATTCAGCAGTCATACAATGTAAAATAGAAACCCACCAGTTCAGCCCTTCACAATTCCCCCTGGGTTATACAAAAAAATACATGGCATTGTTGTCTGGGCAAACGTTGCATTGCCGTATGAAATTATGCATTTTGCAGGGAAACAGATTTGTCGACAGTGTTGTGCTCCAGATAATGAATGATAACATTGTTTGCGCACATTATGCTGTTTCTACGAATGATTTCTGTCAGCAGACGCCGGCCTGGATTCAGTTTCTCTCTGTTTACCTCTCCCTTTGTGTTCTGAATGCTGACAAGGCAACCGGAGCCAACCCCTTTCCACAAGAAGTCACAGTACACACACACACACACACACACACACACACACACACACACACACACACACACACACACACACACACACACACCTTCATTTCCAATTCCCTTGTTGTCCAAAGGTTGTAAACCCACTGTTGTTTTCAATTTTGTCTCTTTCCTGTGTTCACTTTGGTTTGTTGTGGTACGAATTCACAAACTTGATATGTGACAGCTGCACATAGACAACGAATAAGGGTCCATCCACGGCTTCAAAACATCAGCTGGAAGCGTTTACTAGAGGCAAGATGAAGGTTAAAAAGAATATTGTTTGTTTGTATAACTTCTAGTATGAAGGTAAGGGAGGGTCACAAAACAAATCAGACGGGGTGTCTGAGCAGTCACTCCACAAAACAAAGCTTTTTTGTTTATTTTTATGTTCTTTTCTTTGGTATTTTTTCATATTTCTATACTAGTGCTAAATGGATTATTAAAACTGATGATGAATATTATGATGAAATTGTTGTTATTATTCCTATTAAAGAGCAAGAGGTTCTATAGTGTGATTGTGGGTGAAGGGGGGGGGGGAGGTGTTGGGGTTGGGACGGAGGTGCAATGGTGCTCTGCAGAGAGATCGCCCTGTTGTTCAAAACCTATAGACACACAATCTTCTTTTGGAATAAAAAAATATTCAAACAGTCTCATAGTGACGTTTGTGTTTTCCTTTCTGAGCGGGAAGTTCTGCTGCCTTTTTACTTATCGTGTTTGGGTCATGATTCACTGATATACTGAAGAATATAGTCAGTAAAAGCATTGTAGCAAAGAACAGTGATGTTATAGTCTGTGTTGTTGTGTGTTTGTTGGTCTACCAAGGACCATGGTAGAAGAAGAACTTTGGTATTTTTCAACCTAGTCTAAACATTTGTTTTTCTAAGTGAGTAATACTGACAACAATTTGGGAAATTGGTCAAGTATTGAGCGATGCCTTCCAGAGGGCAGCCACTAAACGGCCCGAGGCAATAGAGGTTTGTCAATATACGTCCACTTAAAGTGCTTGTTTTTACCACAAACAACACTATGGCAAGGATCCTACAGAGAAATAAAACATTTTATTTACCTTTCGCTTCATCCACAGCCTGTTTGTTATTGTGTAAAACCCTGCGATGCACCCACATTGTTGAAGTCAGCTAAATATTATGCCATGACATTGAAAAAGATAACAAAAACTCAGACGACAACAAGGCTTTCCCCTCTTAAACTCTTACTCACGTTTCCACTGTCGACACCTGGCAACAAGTCACAAAAAAAATTGAAGGTTGAAGAATAAACATTAGATATTTCTGTCGATGGCAAAAGCAAACACTTCTAGTAAACGTGTGTTGACTAATTGCCCCTCTAATTTCAAAAATGGTTCCCCCCATTAGTCACTAAGAGACTAAAACATTGGAGAGTATCTATCTAGTATCTATTGGCTTGCGCTCCAACACATTGTACGTCAGAGACCATCAACTGGCGATCCGCGGGCCAAATCTGGCACGCCAGACATTCTCATCTGGCACGCGCTGTGGCGCTGGCGGAGTGGTTAGTGCGTGCGCCCCCCACACATTTTTGTTTTACAACGTCTTGTGAGTAATGTGCAGTACCGGAGTCCAACAGAGAGGCAGCAGCTGCGGGACAGTAGCCTACGCACTGCGTAGCCTTCCCTGCCTTGAAGAAGAAGTTATCCTTCATTAGCGTGAAGAGTCTGCTTTATGCGCTCCGCAGTAGCCCCCGCCACTCCGGCGACTTGACAGTACATGTGCGTGCTCCACTAGCCCCCCTGTCAACAACTTCAAAATTCAGGGCTATATATAAAAATCGCTGGCCCCCGAAAGTGTCTAGGTAACCTGAGGGGGCGGGACATCTCGAGGCAGTTGTACCAATCAGAGCAGAGCCGGGCAGCTAACCAATCAAAGCAGACTGGGCTCTGGTTTCAGACAGAGGGTGAAAAGAGGTGCTGCAGCACAGGCAGTATGAGGAAAATAAAGAGCTTTTTGAACATTCAAGCATGGAGACATGTCACAGTAGAGACACTACATACAAATATGAACTCTAAAAGTGAGCTTAAAAGGGCCACTTTAAGTTGAAGTACAGCAAAAACTACTTAAAAGTAACAAAACTAAAAGTGCGCATTCTGCAAAAAGAGCTCACACTTCCTTTGAAGGGTGTTTGTTTCTCATACATTTTTCTATTATGAAAGAAGTCTTTAGTAATCAAGAACACATTTGGTAAGGTCTGTAAAGATGCTGACCTTTATTAAGCAAGAGACATTCGCAACAACAAGTTCTGCTTTAAAGCAAAGTAGAGAACATTTACAGAAATGTTGTTTCTGTACTTCTGCTCCAATGCATCATTTCATAAACCGGCAACATAACTTACAGTAATTATCTCAAAAGCATGAACACATTTTAGACACTTAATTTAAATAGAAAACAGATGTCACTGCACAACAAAGTAAACAATGTAATATGAATCCTTATGTTAGTATATTTCACATCCAAAAAACTCATTTTGTTCTCATGTGTTCCGACAGCACAGATGGTTGGTGCAATCAAATGTCTTAAGCACTGAATTTCAACATTACAAATTGAAAACAACAAGGCGAATCAGAAATACTAAATGAGCCTTTTATAATGTGTTACAAAGCAAACATCTGATGTGTTTTTTTCCCCATTATCTCATGGCAGCTCAGAGTAACACAATTGCAGGTCCTTATTAAACAAAATAAATTATTAGTTTGAAGTTATATCTTTTGTGTTTTATGTAAGCTTAGTTTTTACTTTATCAACACCATTTCACAGTTTTGACTGCTGAAGTATGCATTAATTTAAAATTAAATATTGCACCACAAACTAAGACAAGAAGAAAATGAGGATACGCGCCGTCTGGTGTTTCTACGCATGCGCAGTTACTGATCCACACTCGACGTTAAATTGCCAGTAATTTAGCTGCCTTTTTAATTATTTAATGACACATTACACTTATGTTGTTTAGGGGGAATCTCCTGACACAACCTCTCCTCAGAAAATGGTTTGTTAATCCTTTATTTTTCTCAGCAAACGCTGCAAATCAAACTAGAGTGTTGAGTGAAGTCTGAGCATGCGCAGTGAGAGCGCTTGCTCAGCGTCCCGTCCGGTGAATGACGTAACCTGCTCACCTGTTTCCACTTTACCTGATCAGCCCTGCAGGCCAGCCTCTCACCCTGTAAATGTTGTTAAATGCTGTCTTTGCTTGGCTGCCCCTGAAGTTTCCTGCCCCACTCCAGTTACCTGAGGATTATCAGTTTGAACTTTCTTCCTGAAACGTTTACATTTTGGAAAGTAATCATGAAACTTTTGCCTGCTGCTGCCTCATCTCCATGACACCATCAGACTGTAGAGAGCATGTAGGCCGTCTCTAATCCAATGTTTATATCTTTAACATTTAGAAATGCACCTCTTGAACTGTTCTTGTTATTACTCAGTGTTTTAGAGCATTATTGTTTAAACCTAATGTATAAATGTATTGGTCTATTCTCAGTGAATTATTGTTATTTGTTCGCCTTATATATTGGCTTGAAGTCTTTGCACAGTAACTTGTCTTTGAAAGGTTATTAGTATCCCACCTATGCAACATATCACATCAGTAAACACTAGTTTAACATTTATTTTGTAAAGGCAGTGATGATATTTGCAGCTGTGTAGCAACCTTGAGAAGATTGACGATCACATTTCTGATGTTTAAAAAAGAAAGAAAGGTGGCACTACCGTAGTTGAATATAATGAACATTGGCATTGTTTAGTTATGTATATATACATATATATATACACTCAGTCTTTTCGGTACCACTTTACAATAAGACTACCCTTATAAAGGATTCATAAAGGGTTTATAATTAGGTTATTAATTAGGTTGTAAACACTTTATTAATCTTAAAGTCCATTTTATAAAGCAGTTTTAACATAGTTTGCATACATCAACACGGCTCACTAATTGGCAAGATGACTAAGTCTTATATTGGCTACTTAGCAGAGAATCAACCTCAGTGGAGCCAACAATACCAGGATGCTGATGCTGATGAGGAACGAAGTAAGCAGGTAGCCAATATAAGCTTTAGCAGTACGAGATAAATGTGGGATCACTTATTGGCCAAGCAGCGTCACCGTCGCCCTGTTACTCATGTCTTATAAAGCCTATATAATAATTTATTATAGTGTTCGACAAGCTAATAATCATAATTAAAAAAACTATCGTAAACCTTTTATAGTCTTATTGTAAGTGGTACCGTATTTTGAGTATCACACACGAATGCAGCTGCTTAAAATCTTCCCTTATTTGTATTAATCCACAGATGCAAATATTTCACCACATGCGCGTTACAATCATGTTGAGTGTCAACCAAAGGAAAGCCCTGCTTTTGCCTTTTTATGGGATTTGTCAAATATAGAATAACATGGATCTTGTACTTTCAGGAGCGTTAACTTACTGATGGGAGGGATGTGATAAGCTTGCGATATGATTTAAAATCATGTAAGTATCGTGTCCAATTGTAAAGAAAAAAAGTACTCATATATTATGACTTTGGCAACATTTTCAGTCTTTGTATGTGACTGACATCCGTGATACTCTTGAGCCTGACTATCAGTATGCTAGGAACACATTATTGGTTATTTTATATGTCCTTGCTTTTGTTATTTGCCATTAACGTCTTTTGTGACAATAGGTACTTTAGAATGTCTTTTTTGGGGTAGATATGTGTCATAACTGATGTTCAATAAAGTCGTGTTAGCTGGGCCTGAAACCATCTCCCAGCTCACCTCTCTCGTTCAGTCTCTGGGCACTGGATTCCGTATCTGAAAGACAGACAAACAAGGAACTATTACTCTTGGAAATAACCTTACTTTAAAAAATGTGTTCTTTAGAAACTCACAATAATAGGAAGTAGTGTGCTATTGTTCAGGATGCGTTGTCTAATACTCTCTGGTGCTCGCAATGGTAATTATGTGTTCAGTTGGGTTCGACTGATCGTACAGTACGCTCCTGCTGTTTTTAGGGAATTTTCTTCCACTTCTTTATAATGTGTCATGAATTAAAGTTTTGACTAGACTGATACAGCGAGTGTAATAGTCTTCTTCGTGTGACTGTAGACGATGAAGATGTTTGATTCTTTCTATAATAGTTAAAATTTTATGCTGATAATTCTCGCTATCCTCATGTTGTAAACCTTCTTAGTATGGAGGAGAAGTTTCAACACATCAGTTGTATACTCCTACATAATATGTATACACACACACACATCACTGTGCTACTATCGTCTTGGGCGCGGGCGCACACGCACACACACATCACACACCACACACACACATCACACCTTTTCTGGATGAGGAAGAGTTAGTGGTGCCGCATGGTGCATTTGGCTAACTATCAGCACAAATATCCTCCAGTGACTGTATTTTTTGCTAAACATGTGCAGGCCCTCTGACCCAGCCTTCTGAAACCCAGCCCTTCTGCAAAAGGAAACACCAAACTATGATGAACTTTTCAACAATGCGAAACTTATCAGTGATAAGTGATATTTAAAGGGAATAGTTTGAAAAAGGGTATATACGTTTGTTATATTGGTGACTTTTGCATGGTGTGCCGGGCAGGTTGATTGGTCACCGTCTACGTATGACCGCTGCCCTAACCATTGCTGTTGGAGTGCAATTAAATGGGCCTCTATTATGTTCTAATTGTAAGGATTATATTTGTATTTCGGTGGCCTCTAGCTGGGACATGCTTCAATCCTGCTTGCTTTTTCTCTTGGCATGTCTTTTTCTTTGCTGTGTAATAGACGTTCTTCATCTTATGTGTTGTTTACTAATATGGTGGTAGCATAGATTTGTAGTTGGTGAAAATTGTTTGTCTTCCTGCTGTTAGCTCTTTTGTTCCTGTTTTTTGCCGCCGCGGTCATGTCCACGCTTTACTTAGAAATGTGTGCTCCTTGCAGGCCACTCTGGATGGCCCTTTCCCGTCTTGCCTTGTTAACTCCTAAAGATGGCCCAATTCTGATGATTTATTATCATGTGAGTTGGTTCTGTATGTGGTTGAGGTTCAGAGTTCATATTATAGAGAGTATTACTTACTCACCTTTAACAACGGGTTGGTGGTTCCTTCAAACGCACGCTGGGAAAAAGCTGTCGCTGCAGGTGTACATGACCCTGCATCTCTTGATTGAACAGCTTGGAGAGATGATTTCAAAGATTGTTCTGCAATCTTCTACTCTCCCCCAGAAAAGTGTCCAGGGACATCGTAACTTTTGTACTTTGCTTTAGAAACAATGATCGAGGATTTCCTCTCCTTCTGGTGTCTTCATGCGTCCCACTGGAAACTGATGGTGAGATTTATCTTCTTGTCCCGGGTGAATTGGACATCGCAGGGGTGGCCTCCTCTCCGAGGTTATCCCGTCTCAGTTGATGGCTGCACTTGAGGTCAACATAACTTGCATAAAAAGGATATAGATGTGATTAAAGTTACTGGCCGGTTGGTTGTGATTATTCCATTTTGAGTTGTCTGTTGCTCAAGACTGCAAGCGAAGAAGTAGTGTTGTTGAGATTATGGGAATTTACTTTTTGATTTCCTTTTTACGACTTTATGAATCCTTCCTTTGTATCATGTTTTTAACACCGTGTTTATTTATTGATGGCTCCCCTGTGTACACACAGCATAATTCTCCTATCAGTGTTGGTATCAATATTGGGAGAATTTAATGAAGTTACTTTTACTCAAGTACTGTATTGAATACATTGATAGTAGTTGTAGTATTTTAATCGTGTTCTCCATTACATTTATTTGACGCTTTTTTTCTGTTATAGCTAATACATATAATAATAAATCAATTAGAAAATGTAATGCAGTTATAGAGATTAAATGTGAGTCCTTCAAGCAGGTTTGGATTTTTGAGTAAGTATAGCAACCTTATAAGATCTGACACTATTCATGCATCCAAGATTCAAAATCCAGTATTTATTATATTATCTGAAAGGGCCGACTGCATAAAAAATACTTTTACTGTTAAATTTACTTACAGTTTATTTAATGCCAATGTTTGTTATTTATGTTTTTCTCAATAATTTTTGTCTTTATCGTCTTAAGTATAGGAAGTATTTTTTTTTTTGTTATCAGTAAACGTATGACGGCTCCAAAGTTTGATAATGTTTCCCTCACTTTTTATGTTCAGGTATTTGTGGGTCCCGGTCTGTAGTCCTGCTTCCAGTGGGTACCAATGTAGCGTCAATTTGATTGGCCTCCATATATCCATCAACCTTTAAGGCAATGTGCAATCAAATGTATGAACGATGAGTTGACTCCACAGATAGATGGATGTTGTTTGAGTGAGCACGGGGGCTCGCGCCTCTTGTGGAGTATTAGTACACGGCAGGGAGATGTGTTGTGGTCTGGAGATGGGTCGCCTGAGTCGTAGCGCGGTCACATTAATTATAGTTAAAGTGGATCCTTCCAGTCGCGCGTGATTTGAAATCTGTCCTTCCTGCAAACACATAGAAGCCTGCTGTTAGCCAGAGGAAAAGAAGGAGAGAGGATCCAGGAAGGAGGAGCAGGACAGACTGACGGAGCATGTTTTTTTTTTTGTTAATTAGGGCAACTCTCAATGTATGTGAATCACAGTCCGAGACAGGTTTATTCTGCTGAACTTCTCGACCGAGCTCTGTCGCTGTAGATTTTACCCATGCACACTGGAGACATGGTTACTCAGGGAGAAGTCGACCACAAACAAATATCTCATAAAAAAGATTAACTA